TAAATTCAGCCCACTTTAATCACAAAAACATTTATATTAATACACTTGTCCAGGAGAATCATGGAGTATTAGTCAATCAACAAGAGGCAGCAAGTGACAGTAATTGGTCTATATCAGTTGTTAAACTTTGATGACCAACAATAAGGCCATACACACATTTATATAAAACTGTGCACGCCTAAAGCCCATATTCAAAATCAATTTAAAACCTATAATATAAGCTTCTATATCATCTCTTAGGCCAATAGCTAGCCTGTCAATAAATCCAAGTGCAAAAGCCAGAAAACATACTCTAGCCACACTTCTCCCCCCCTCCAAAAAAAGAAAGTCAAATTTACTTTAAGTGCCTCTACTGATACTTATACTATAAGTTTTGTTTGGTTGTTTTGTTGGATTTCTTTTAAAAGGAGAAAGGAATTCCAGAAGTTCTGCTCTAGAAGAATTAGAAGCTGATGAGGCTTTAGTAGAAAAGAAAACCTCTTTCACAGTCTCCTGATGAGCTTCCAAATGGGATTAGCCAGATCCAAATGGTTATACCCCTTATTCCCCACATTTTCTGAAGTGTATTAATCCTTGTCTAAATGCATCAGTATCTGCTAACCTGAATCCTCCACTGAGAACTGCCATCCCCCATTGCATCTATTTATACCATTTTGTCATGATTCATCTCTATGCCATCACAGTTCTGAGTACAGGTAGAACAGAGCACCAAAACACAAGCAGTTTTTCCTCAGACAGTCCTGTCTGTTCAGCTACGCTGAAGATTATTTTAGCTATTACTCAGTGGCGCACATATACCTAAACAAACACCCATCAAAACTATAAAAGGAATACCTGTACTATTATTGCTGTTTATTTGTAAGCATTTTTTATTTTTATCAATTTTAATTTCCCACAACTGTGAAAGTTTTGGCAAGTCAGACAATTATTTAATGAGAGCAGACACTGTAATTCAAAACGTTTAACCTTTATAACTATTAACACACAAACTTAACATCATATGTCAAAATATATAAAGTATCCTTAAAATCAAATGTTAAGTTCTCAAGTAGCATTTCTCTTACTTTGCCTATCTATACATTTTGATTGATAGAAATATTTTTCATCAGTTTGAGTGTACAGTGAAGTTGATGTTTACCAACGCTTACTGATAAAAATCTAATCCTTCCAAACCTAGTTATAGGCTTGGAGGGTTGGTTTTTGTTTGTTTGTTTGTTTGTTTGTTGGGGGGGGGGGGGAGGAGAAAATGCATGCTGTAATTAGAAAACAGTCCTAAGCTTTGTGAGCGATAGTAATCACAGGATAAAACTTAAAATATTAATCTTTGGTCAGAAATAAAATCTGACAGTGATGGGCTGAAAGGCAGACTTATTCTGGATTATTCTGGATTAAAAATTAAACATGAAACATTGTGCCAACATGGGCTATTACCCAGTTATTTACAGGCTTTTAAGTGCCAACTCTGACATTCAGATGCAATGACAGAAGTTAACGTGTACCCATAAAAAAAAACACTTTTTCCCTGCCTACTTCCTTATTACAAAATTGTCATGCATGGAGTGGTACCAGAAGGAGATTTCTGACGTGAAGTTAAGAGGTCAAATTCACACTGTGAAATTGAAAATCAACGACAGAGTCTTTAATTTATTCACTCCTATGAGCCTCTTCCTTTCAAAGCACATGTCTTAGTGTCAATCAGATGATTAAACTGCAACCAGGCCTTGATTATTCTGTGTAATACTAATTAAGTGAGAGTCCAAGTAAAGAGTGACCGGTTAAAAGGAATAGACAAGCTAAAATAAATTATGCAAGAAAACAAACCAAGTTTACTTAAGGCATACAATAAAACCTTTTCAAATGAATAAACTTTCAATAAACTTTCAATGCCAAGATAAAATGCAGGAGAGACAGACTAGTGAAGAGGAAAGAATGTGTTAGGTAAATATTCCATGTGACAAAGCAAGACATATTTCATAAAAACAATGCACTCCTTTTAAATCGACACCACTGAAAGAAACAGATCTTTCTATGGAAGTTATTTGTGTTGTGAAGTTATGCATTACATCACATTTCTACAGCATTCTCTTTCATAGAGGCCGCTTGCATGCCCTGTCATCATAGGTGCTGTAGCATTCTTACATGAATTCACACTCACAAATGCTGAAATTACCCATGCCATCCTATAGCAAAACACTAGCATGGCTTCCAAATCTATCTAGTCTTCAGACAAAGTTGCCAAGAACTGACCACAGCTATGCAGCTCAATCAGCATTAAGATGCTTAAGTGAGGGCTTCTGGTCAATGGGAAACTTTCTCTTCACAAGGACAGTAATCATAGCTTCAAGTCAGCTTGATGCCAACAGAACATTTTGATCCATCTTACTATATCAATTCCATCTAACAAGTGAACCCTGCAATATAATGTATAAACTCTCAAAAAAAGAGAGGCAAATGATAGGCTGCAGGAAATGAAGCTCTCACCCAATTCTTAATCATTTTCCTCTCTGTGTAGCACATTGCAATGTACAACAGCAGCTCGTAAAATACTCTATGAAGTGACAAGATTTCTGTCTTTACGAAATGGATCATAAAGTAAGTCAAACTACAGCTGCCAGGATTTGACTATGAAAAAAACAAAAAGGCAAAACATTAACACAGGGGTGGGCAAACATTTTGGCCTGAGGGCCACATCGGGTTTCTGAAATTGTATGGAGGGCCTGTTAGGGGAGGCTGTGCCTCCCCAAACAGCCAGGCATGGCCCGGCCCCCATCCCCTATCCGACGCCCCCCTCCCGTATCCGACGCCCCCCTCCCCTCCCCGGACTCCTGCCCCATCCAATCCACCCTGACCCGACAGCCCCTGCCCCATCCACCCCTCCCTGTCCCCTGACAGCCCCCGGACCCCCCACCCCTGACTGACTCCCACCGCCTCATCCAACCCCTCCTCTCATTCCTAACTGCCCCCCCCCGGGACCCCTGCCCCATCCAACCGCCCCTTGTCCCTGACCGCCCCCGGAACCCCTGCCCCTGACTGCCCCATCCAACTCCCCCTCTCCTTCCTGACTGCTCCCCCAGGACTCCTGCCCCCATTCAACCCCCCTGTACCCAGCCCTCTGACCACCCCGACCA